TTCCTGGCAATCTATTCAGACGCCGCGCCCTCGACACTCAGGAATCACGCTCTCGCCTTGGCTTTTTCTCATGATTTATTAAGGAATCGCACTATCGCTCGAGAGTTCCTTGCGATTCAGGCAGGGTTCACGTTTCATCAACCCGCCTGCCCCTTGTCCCTGCCTTCCATCCGTCCTCTCTTCCCCTGCCTGACGGGCTGCACGAAATACACGAGGCAGATAAGAAAATACTCCCCCTAAAGGGGTACGATCGAAGACGACGAAAACGGGTATCGAGCGTTTGGGATATACGTGTTGAATGGCGCGCGAGCAGATACGAGCAAACAATCTTCAACTTCTTATTACGGTTGTTGGTATTGTTGTTGCTGTTGTTGTTGTTGTTGGATTCTCATTCCCAAAACATAATTACTGTTGCTTACCCCCCCGTAGTTTTTTAGATCAAGTGCTTCTCCCAGGGCTCGCACCCGATGTTTTTATTAGGGAAGGTGAAGGGTCACCAAACTGTCTTGTTGGCGCCCAGTTTACAGCAACAGCGGCTCTCGCTGGATACTGCCTTAAAATGCATTCCCAGATCGCGCTCTCGCGCGGGACTTCCTCACAATTTATACAGGAATCGCGCTCTCGCGTGGGACTTCCTGGCAATCTACTCAGACGCCGCGCCCTCGACACTCAGGAATCACGCTCTCGCCTTGGCTTTTTCTCATGATTTATTAAGGAATCGCACTATCGCTCGAGAGTTCCTTGCGATTCAGGCAGGGTTCACGTTTCATCAACCCGCCTGCCCCTTGTCCCTTCATTCCATCCGCCCTCTCTTCCCCTGCCTTAGGGGCTGCACGAAATACACGTTGCAGGTAAGAAAGATATGCCTCTAAGGAAATACGATCGAAGACGAAGACGAAGAAGGCGGGTGTCGAGGGTTTGGGGTATACGTGTTGAGTGGCACGCGAGCAGATAAGAACGAACAATCTTAAAATGATTGTTGCTGTTGTTGTTGAGTGGGTGTTGAATTCTCACTTCTAACGAATAATTATTGTTGATCCCCACTCTCCGGTAACCGTCGTATGTTTCAATCAGAGTGCTTCTCCCAGGGCTCGCACCAGGCTTTTTATAAAGGAGCGTGACTATAACCAATCTGTGCTCCTGGCCATCGGTGTGCAACATCAGCGGCTCCCGCCTGATACTTCCTCACAATGTATTCCCAAATCGCGCTCTCGCGCGGGACTTCCTCATTGATACAGGAATCGCGCTCTCTCGTGGCACTTCTTGGCAATTCATTCAGACGCCGCGCCCTCGACACTCAGAAATCACGCTCTCGCTGTAGAATTCCCCGACGATCTATTTGGGCATTGCGCTATCGCTCAAGACTTTCTCGCGATTCATGCATGACGCACGCTTCAGCAACCCGCCTGCCCCTTGCCCCTTCCTTCCATCCGTCCTTCCTTACCCTGCCTTAGGGGCTGCACGAAATGCACGTTGCAATTAACGCAAACAAATAAGAGCGAACAATATTAAAACGATTGTTGCTGTTGTTGTTTTGTTGTTCGTTGTTGTTGCTGTTGTTGTGGTTATTGTTGTTGCTGCTGCTGTTGTTGTTTGTTGATCGGTGCCGGCGTCCCTCCCGCGACCCGGCCCGCGACCCACCCGCGACCCACCCGCGACACACGCGCGACCCACGCGCGACCCACCCGCGACCCACCCCGCGACCCACCCCGCGACCCACCCGCGACCCACCCACGACCCACCCGCGACCCACCCGCGACCCACGCGCGACCCACCCGCGACCCACCCCGCGACCCACCCCGCGACCCACCCGCGACCCACCCACGACCCACCGGCGACCCACCCGCGACCCACGCGCGACCCACCCGCGACCCACCCCGCGACCCACCCCGCGACCCACCCGCGACCCACCCACGACCCACACGCGACCCACGCGCGACCCACGCGCGACCCACCCGCGACCCACCCACTTGCTTTAACGAAAAATTCGGCGCCTGCGGCGGGCTGGTTGTATCAATTGTTTTAACATCGGCGCCTGCGGCGGGCTTCTTCAGAGCCTCGCAGACTGCCGACGACCCCTCTGCCCCCTCACTCTTGTCCGCAAATGCGGGGCGCTACGTATACATACACCTCGTCTTCCGATGCTGGATCCGCATGCACCCCAGACAATTACTTTATCTTCCACCGGCGTCTGAGGACAGCCTGCCGCTGTCGCCCTGGGCAAGGGCGACGCCGACGACCTACGACGGGCGACGGCGACGACGACGTGCAAAGGACGACCATGACGAGGACGTCAAAGACGACGGCGGACGACGAGAAGGAGAAGGATGAGGAGGAGGAATAGGAGGAGGAGGAGGAGGAGGAGGAGGAGGAGGAGGAGGAGGAGGAGGAGGAGGAGGAGGAGGAGGAGGAGGAGTGAGAGCAGGAAGACGAAGAGGATGAGGATGAGGAGGAGGAGGACGAGGAGGAGGAGGAGGAGGAGGAGGAAGACGACGACGACGACGGACGGCGAGAAGGAGGAGGAGGAGGAGGAGGAGGAGGAGGACGACGACAGACAGTGGGCGACGCAACGATGACGACGGCGGCGACGACGACGACGACGACAGTGGGCAACGGGCGGCGGCGAAGACGACGACTGGCGATGGACGACGGCGACGGGCGACGATAAACACCACGGCGACGGGACGACAGGAGACGCCAAACGATGCACGGCGGACGATCGACGGACGGCGGCGGCGGCGGCGAGGACGAGGGCTGCGGCGCGCCCCCTCGTGCAGCTGCTGCGGCGGCCCCGCCCTGCGCGGCTGGCGCGCGCGCTCGCGCGTTCGCCCGGGGGGGGGCTCCGCAGGGGCTGCAGTGCACGGGCCATGGGCCTTTCGGATCCACCGCAGGCGGAGGAGGAGGAGGAGGAGGAGAAGGAGGAGGAGGAGGAGGACCAATGAAAACCCAAGAGTCGTCAACGATGTTGGAATACCCCCTCCCTCCAAGCTCCCTCTTGACAGGCCCCTATAACGGTTCATTTCCACTGAGGGAATTGCCTCGTTGAAAGACAGCCGTTTAAGACCAAGAAGAATGCCAAAACACGGTTCTCGGAATTCTAACGTCACGGATCACCTTGACTATTGCGTCTTGACGATCCTGAATCGTGCCAGGATGCCATTCCTGGGACTTCAACAAATCAACGTAACTGTTGCGCCCTCATAATCCTGAATCCTTCCCAAACAATATTTCTGGTACGATGACCATGGGAATACGTGAAGTCTTTGCAGATTTTAGCGATCGACTGTTTGCGCGGCGCTAAGGCGAGAGCCACATATTGAGAAGAAGCTGCCCTCAATGCGTGAAGCGTTTGTAATTTTTGAAACGAATGTACGCGGCGTGAACGCGAAAACCACATTTTGAAAAGGGACCACCCTCAATCTGTGAAGGTCGTCTAACTCTTTGAAACGAATGCGCGCAGCGCTAAGGCGAGAGCCATCTTTTGAAAACGACCCGCCTTCAATTCGTGAGACTCTGTCTGATTGTTAATTTCAGCGAATGTGCGCCGCGCTAAGGCGAGAACCACATTTTGAACACGAGCCGCCTTCAATCCGAACAAGTCTGGCACATTTGAACACGATTGTGCGCGGCGCTAAGGCGAGAACCACATTTTGAAAACCATTCGCTCTCAATCCGTGAAGCTCTTGCAATTTATTTAAACGAGTGTGTACCGCGCTATGACGAGAGCCACATTTTGAAAACGACCCGCCCTCCATCTGTGAACCGGTTGTCAATTTCAAACTTCCGAGCCATAACCGGTAAGGAAGTCTCAGGCGAAACGCCCAGCCCGGATGAGGACGAGGACGAGGACGAGGACGAGGAGGAGGAGGAGGAGGAGGAGGAGGAGGAGGAGGAGGAGGAGGAGGATGTGGGGGCGGGTTCAGGCCAGACGTTACTTTTTGTGCAAGGGGCCGAGGGCGCTCCGAGGCCACAAGCATGCTGGGCACAAAACGGGACACAAGAGTGAAAGGCGGGAGAGGAGGGACGGAAAGACTTGAGCGAGGTAAACGGCGGCGGGTCACACTCGCAGACCACAGACGCCTCTTGCAGAGCTAAATGTGGGGGCGGGTTCAGGCCAGACGTTACTTTTTGTGCAAGGGGCCGAGGGCGCTCCGAGGCCACAAGCATGCTGGGCACAAAACGGTACCACACATGCTAGCTCGGTATATCTGGCCCCCGAGGCCGCCCCAAAAACAAAACAGAAATGAACACGACGTGATCGCTTTACAGATCCTGGCGATTGCGGCTAAACGACGTGCGCTGTCCAGCACGGCGTGCACACCCTCAACGGCGACGAGCTTCGGGGCCCTGCGAACTTGGGCCCTTTGGGCCGCGTCCAGGTGAGGAAGCCCAAGAGACCCGAGATGAAACTTACCAGATCTGTCACATCTAGCACGCGCACACGAGCAATGCGAGGAAAGCTTGTGCAAACTATTCACATGCCAGCCAACGATGCGCCACGTTCGATGCACGCGGCCTTCGTACATACAAGCGTCGAACGTCGCCTCCGACGAGGCCGACAGGAGCAGACGTTGAACGAAGGGGAGGTGCCATAGCGCACTGCTAGCAGGGTGCTCGAGGCACGAGAAGCGTTCGCAACAGATGATGAGCATCGTCATTGGCAACATTGACCTGAGCCTGCACCGAGGGACTACGGCGAGAGAGCCCGAGGGGCCGAGCCGACGACCTGGCGGGGGGCCTGGCGCACACCGACCAGGAGGGAAGCCCAGGCCGAAACCGCGCCCCCGCGACGCAGCAGCTGCGAATCCAGCCGTGGACGACAGGGGAGACCCCAGGCGCAGCCAGGTCGTCGGTAGGGCACCGACTCGGGTCCAAAAGTGCACTACCCAAGCCCTGGTGGCGACGAGCCTTGTCGATGGGATTCAACTGTGCGCCGCGCGCAAGAAAAAGGAAGCGAGGCAGGGCGCGGCAGTGAGAGACAGCGCGCGAGAAGAGCCTGCTCAACCGAAGCGCCACCTGCGGCTCAGCTGGGGGGCGTGAACCCGCTTGGGCCGCTTCGCAGCCGGCAGGTCGGGTTGCAGAGGCGGCAGCGAACGCGCCCCCGTAGTCGTCATCGTCGAGATGAGCTCTGCCTCGCGCCCGTCCACGGCGCTGCCCAGCGCCGCCGCGTACTGCGGGGGCGCGGCGATGAGCTGCTGCATCCGAGGCCGCTTGGCGTAGCGCTTGAGGGGGGCGTCGGTGGCCCACCTCCCGCGGTCCTTGACCTCCTTCCTCGAGCGGCGGCCCGACAGGAGGTCGTCGGATGCCCCCCCGTGCCTGAGCGTGTACAGGGTCGAGACGCCGTCCCAGATGCCGAGCCTGACCAACGCCTCGCGGAAGACCTGGCGGATCACCGAGGGCGCGAAGCTCCACGGCGGATCCATCGGAGCGCGGTGGCGCTTCAAGCCCTGGAGGAAGGGCCACAAGCTCGCGTTGTCGATGATGACGCTCTCGTCGGTCGCACCCGTCTTGCCAGGGCCGCCCGTCGTCGCATCGTTCACGATCATGCCCCAGTGCTGATGGCCGTCGACTGACCCCGCGCGCGGCTCCACCAGGCTGGCCGCCACCAGGCGATAGGCCTCGCTGGGCCTGAGGCAGGCGTCGAACGCCAGCCTCGCGAAGACCGCCTCCGCGAACCTCCTGTCCTGAATCAGGAGGCCGACCACGGCGAGCATCGCCAAGCGCGGCAGCGGGAGCCGCATCTGCGGCGGCACTAGGCGGCTCCAGCCCTTGAGAGCCCGCGCGGCTCTCGGCAGAGCGCGGGGGCCCGCCAGCACGTGCGGCAACAGGTGGCGAAGGGCGGCCATCGTCATGCGCCCCGTCGCGGTGGCGAACCCGTCCAGGCAGAGGTCCCCGAAAAAGACCAGCAGCAGTGCGTCCAGCTCGGCGGCAGTCTCGAACGACTGCCCCGTCCACGGGCACCACTGGTGGAAGCGGGCGGCGTGGGCGTGGTAGGAATCCCGTGTCCGCTGTGTCACCGCGGCGTTCTCGAGGAACGAAGTCTCCCCCCTCGGCAACTGCAGCAGCCCTGGGTGTCGAAGAGACCGCTGGACGTCGAGCGCCTGGGCTGCACTCGGGGGCCTGGTCGCCTGCTTCAGCTTCGAAGTCCTTCCGCGGCCCCAAGAAGAAGCCCGTCCGCGAAGGGCCATCTGCGACGTTCCGCTCACTCGGAATCCATCGAACGATCGCGCGGATACACGTGGTGAGACTGACGGCGGCCAAGCGTCGGAGGAGATGTCGCAAGCGCTGTGAACCTGTGCGACCCTTGCCGCAACTCAGAGCCAGAGCCAAATTGTCGACGAGAAATAGAATGCGATGCCTGTGGTTACCCGTTTTTTTCGAGCGGCATGACGAACAGCAAAGCAGAGCGCCTCCCCCTCATACTCCAGAATGTTGAGACCCATGCGGCGATGACGACTGGAATGAATGATACCCAATCCTCCGAATCGTACAGCACCGACGGCACATCGACGGAATCCGAGACGGAGTCGAGGCCCCCCTCCCCGTGCAGCACGTCCGACGGCAACGGGCAACCGACAGCAGCATCTTGAGCGCCCTCATCACCTCCTCCACCTTCGAACGCGTGGGCCCTGGCAGAAAGCGCCTGCGAGACTCTGTGCCTCCACTTCTCAGCAACGCGGCCCGTGGGCGAGACGACGAGGGGGTCCAGCTTTTTCATGCGCGCACCCTTCCCGCGCGGCGAGGCATCTGAGGCGTAGAGGGTGCCTAGCCAAGGCGCGCGAGAGGACGCCCACATCAAGGGCAACAGAGCGGCCACGGCTGAGAGTTCCTGTCGGACTGAGGGCCATAGCTTCATGGGAGTGGGACCCGCGACTTGAATGAAACGATAAACACCATTGAATATCGACAGGCACTCTCTCCGCATGATCATGGCCCACGTCGCGGCGTGACCTACTATAGAGGTCAGGGCCCCGCGCGACGCAGACCCGCGGCTCAAGAGGGCCAGGGTGGCCTGCCGCAGGCGGGCGGGGCGGTCGGGCCTCGCGCGCAGCATCCCTGTCTTGCCCGAGAACTGGATGCCCGTGAAGACGCCCTCCGTCTGGGCCTCAGTGAAATCGTGCACGGGCAAGCCTCTGGAGGTCAGCGTCTGCGCCAGCTCCCGAGCCTTGGCGGTCGCCAAAGCGGCTGACTGTAGAGCGCCCGGTCCCAGCCCATGGGCACCGCGCGCACAACGGACTGCAGGAGGAAGTGGCGACCCGCGCTCAGGGAGCCGACGGTCTTCAGGCCCACGAAGCGGTTGGAGATAGTGGGCAGTCGGAAGAAGTCCCCGAGGTCGGGCGGCACCGCCGCGTGGTAGACGGCGCGCTGGATGCCCCCCTGGGCCGCATAGAAGTCGTCTGACGACTCGAGGGAGGCCCGGGCCGATGGGGTAGGCAGCACGGTGTTCGGAGGAGACTTGAAATAAGTATTCGCCACCCTCGTGTCGAAGACTAGCCTCAGCTTGCCGCCGTTCTTCCCGACAAAGAAAATCCCGACCGAGTGGGGGGAAGAAGGAGGTGACGCCACAGTCCACTCGATCATGTGGCGCTGCAGCATCGCGTTCAAAAACCCAGCATAATTCCGAGGATCACGAAGCAGAGGGTCGACGTAGGGCTGCTGAACGCCTAACGACACCTGCAGCTCCTCGACCTCGCCTGCGGATCTCAGCATACTCTGCCTCCAACCCTGCAACTGGGCGGCATCGGCCTGCTGCGCGACGGAGCTGACCTCGACGGGAGGCCCCGAGAGCGCAGGCCAGGCCACGAGGGCCTTGTCGCAGGGTCTGACCCGCGAGGCGTTCTGGTAGCCTGGGGTCGTAGAGAGCACCTCTGCGAGGGATGCTTCACAAAACTGGCGTTGCTCACTGTGTCCAGGAGGCAACTCAAAACGATGGTAATGCTCTTGTAGCTCTCCGACGACAGCGAGCTGCGCCTGGGGGCGGACCACGTCCTCACCCGCGAGACGTCCCGCAGCATAACGATCATGGAGCCAGTTGAGTGCGTCGATACCCTCGTTGCACCACCGGCGCCAGGCCGCGCCGCGAGCTGCGCGCTGGCGAGGGCGCCTATCGTTAACGGCGTGAAGACGGTCGTCCACGTCGAGGGGCGGCAGCGGCAGAGCATCCCGCTGGCGAAGGCGGGGGGCCTGTGGCAGGCCCAAGCCAGGGGGTGGCCCGAGGGGCCTTGGGCTCGGCGAGCTGGGCAGCCCTGGGGCTGGCCCCTCCCAGCTCGCGTCCTCAGGGAGCGTCATGGCGCCCGCAAGGCGCGCTCCTCACGCGCCTTGCGTCGTTCCTTCGATGCCGCCGCCTCGTTCCTCATCTGTTCTGCGATAAACTGCATCAGCGCGGGGCAGATGCACAAGTTACCCTTCGCCTCTCCGATCCCCAGGAAGTGGCCGACCTCCGTGGACAGAGCGTCCTGGGGTGTGGAGTCCTTCTTGCCCTGCCCCTTGAGCGTGGCGGCTGCCTTGCGAGTCTTCTCGTCGTAGACCCTCTCCTCGATCAGCTGCAGCTGCCGAGCAAGATACTCGAAGCTGGCCAGCTCGGTGATGACGAGCTGGTCGTGCACCATCGACGTCTCCAGGATGCGGCAGATGGTCTCGTGCTGTTTCGCCGCCTCGTCGCCTTCGGCCAGGCCCATGACGGCGAGCCACCGCGTGTGCCACGCGACAGTACCTCCAGCCATCCGAAGCATGAACTGGAGGACCCAGAGCAACGTCCGAGGCCCAAGCGCGGGCCAGTCGTCACGCTCGCACTCAGTCTGCTCCTTGAGCGCGTCGCCGAAGGAGCGGTCGCGGCGACCCCGCGAGTCCCTCGCCACCGCGAGGGCGCGGAAGTCGTTGCTCGGGGGTTCTCCCGCAGGAGGCGTGGCCGTGCCTCCAGCGTGAGCCCCAGGAGGAGCGCCAGGCCTGAGCGCCGTGGCCAGCGCATCCCCCACGGGGTCGGGAGGCGCGAGAGGCGCGGAGGCAGCCCCCAGCGCAGGCGGCGCCGCGGCCACCAGCGGACCCGCCGCGGCAGGCACGGGGGCCGCGAGCGGGTCGCGCAGGAAGAGCGGCCCAGGCGCCATCCCGAGCACATTCCCCTCGCCGAGCTCCAGCGCGAAGTCCTCGTGCGGGAGCGCCGCAGCACCGCCTGCCGCCGCCTCGCGCAGCGCGTCCCACACCTGCACCGCCGTGGGGAGCCGCTTGAAGCGGTAAACACTCGCCGCCTCGATCCCGTCGACCGCGGCGCCCTGCCCGCTCAGCGGCTTGATGCCCCTGACGTCCCTGGAGAGCACCTGGTCCTTGTGGTAGACGTCGCCATCAGGAGTCATGATGAGTGCCCCCTGGATGACGAACCGTTCGTGCCAGATCTCTCGACCAGGCACATTGAACCGAACAGGGTAGAAGCTGCCAGCCGCCATCGGCATCGCGTCAGCGAGATGCTAAAGCCCTCCGCCGAGCCTGACGGGCCTGCTCCGCCGCCGCCTTCTCGAAGTCGGTCTCCCCGTGGAAAGAGCCCTCCTCCTGCACACTCGTGAGTGCTGAAGGCGCTGACGGCCTCCTCCTGCGACGAACCTCGCGGAGGACGAAGACAGCGGAGACCAGGAGCCCCGCCCCGAAGCCGTGCACGAAGCCGAGACCCCAGCACCACGAAGAGGCGGACGAGACAGGCGCCGCCGTCAGGAGCCCCTCCCCAGCAGGGCAGGAGCAGGTAAGGGGTGGGCAGTTCAGCGTCGGCTTGCAGATGCACGCGGGACAGGGATCGGCCGCAGCACGGACTATCACTGCTGTCTGAAGGGAGCGAACGAAGTCGGGCACCGCCTCAACGAGAAACGCTTGCATTCCCTGAAAGACTTGAGCGAGGTAAACGGCGGCGGGTCACACTTGCAGACCACAAACGCCTCTTGCAGAGCTAAATGAGGAGGAGGAGGAGGAGGAGGAGGAGGAGGAGGAGGAGGAGGAGGAGGAGGAGAGGAGGAGGAGGAGGAGGAGGAGGAGGGGGGGGGAGGAGGAGGAGGAGGAGGAGGAGAAGGAGGAGGAGGATTCGCTGGAATCCACGGGTGTCAGGGAGGATGAGGAGGATGAGGAGGGATGAGGGAGGATGAGGAGGAGGAGGAGGAGGAGGAGGAGAGGAGGAGGAGGAGGAGGAGGAGGAGGAGGAGGAGGAGGAGGAGGAGGAGGAGGAGAGGGGCAGCCTCCAGCCGCAGTCTCTCCAGATCAGCCCTTCACACAAGCGCGCCCGCGCTCCGCTGTGAAGGGCACCCACACGGCGCACCCAGGCGCAGGCCGCAGCCGAGTCCGACCGCAGCGACGAGGAGCGGACTGGGGCGGGAGGCAACAGGAACGCGATGGGAAAGTGCGGCTTGCTGCTCTTCCGACGTCAGACGTCGCGAGGAAGCCACGCTGTTTCGAAACGTTCACGGCACGAACTCTGGATCCCACCCTTCCATCTGCCTTACTGCTCGGCCCGGATCGATCTGTAGTGTCCCCTGGACCCGCATCAGGGCAGAGACGCTCGTCGTGACCCGATCCACGACGCCTGGCCGTGGAGGGCAGCGGGTGGGCATCGACCCGTACGCAGGACCCCTGGCCCATCCGTGGGTCGGGCTGGCTGCCTGATGAGCGAGATCGCGCGCGAGACCTGTCCAATTTGCGCTCCAAGCTCTCTCTGCCGCCGTGGCCTCTGCACAACGTGATCCCCGGGGACAGATTTTCGGCGCGGGCTGCTTCTGTTGGCGGGCTCTGGGACCTTCGAGAGCCTCGCGGGAGGATCCACAACGCTGTTTCGACACCGGTTTCTAGTCTATGTTTGCCCCTCTTGGGCCACTCCTTGGTCTCCCAAACAGGCTCGTTGGGCCCCATTCACCGCCTCCTCGGCACAACTTAGCGAACACATTGGAATCTCCAAATCATGCGCAGACCCCTCCGGCCTTCAATGTTTTCGCCTGGCTGGGAGTCGCCCCAGGGCCTTCGTAAACCATCGAAGATCTGCGATATTTTTTCTCTTCCTTCTGCGGCGTCGAAACTCGGCGGCGAGCCTGTGGGGGAAGTGAGAAGGGGCGAACCTTCTCATAAGGCTCGGAAGTCCCCCAGTCTTATGACAGTTTTCTAAGCCTTCCCCGAAGACGCAGAACACCTCTCAAAGGCCGGAGGCCTTCTGAGAAGCCCCGCCACCTTCTGAGAAGACCTTCTCTTTCACTTTCCCCTCTCGCTCGCCGCCGACAAACACCGCGCGGTGGGTGCGTGGACTAAGCTGAGCGGATGCAAGGAAACAATGACCTGACGCTGCAGAACATTGCGTGCAAAATGTTTGAAACAGCGCTGCGAGTGCCGCGCCGCGTGCTCAGCCGCCGTTGTGCTGCGAGCATGTTCCCCGCATCGAGATGCTGGCGAGGAGCAAGCGGGCCGCGCGAGCACGGCCCGCGCGCGATCGCGTGCCGAAAAACGCTCGAGCCGGGGCCGAGGGATCCCGCCGTGAGGGGCGTGCCGAGGCTGGCAGGGCAGGATCGGATAACAGATCGCTCGAAGAGGCTGGGGTGACACAAAAAAAGGCACAGATCCCATGATCCCCCGCATTCCCCAATCAGTGCTTGCACTGAAGGGGTCCTAGCGGAAGTTGAAAGATTTGGCGAAAACTTCCCGCCGATTTTGGTAGCAAGCTGGGTTCCCAGGTTCCGGGTTCCTGGTTCCCGGGTTCCCAGTCGATCTCCTCAGCGAAAACCATCCACTGATTGGGGTTCTTCTCTGGTGCCATTTTTACATGTCTTCCGGAGTTTCGTCTTCCCCTTTCAGTTCCCTTCTGTTGGAATCGACGTTCAGGTGTGCCTGTGCCTATCTTTCCCTCCTGGATCGTGCAGAACATTTCTGGAGACCTCCTCTGGAGGTCAGCCTCCCCCCCCTCCCGAAGACTGCCCTCCGACCTCTCCGGGGGCGACGCCACGGCCTTGAGAGTTGCCGTCGCTCGGACGTCCATTCCCCGTGCATTTTCGGGCTCCTTACATATGTATGTGTATGTGTGTATATATGTATGTACTTGTAGATGCATATGTATATACACATATGTATTTATACATGTATATATATGTATATGTATGCGTATATGCACATGTATGTTTATATGTGTGTATATATATGCATCTGTATTTGTATACATACACAAATTTGTATATGTATAGGTATATGTATATGTATGTGTATATGTATATGTATGTGTATATGTATATGTATATGTGTGGATGTATGCATGTACGTATGCATGCATGCATGCATGCATGTATGTATGCATGTCTGTATGTACGTATAGATACGTGTATGCCTGTATGCATGTATGTATGTATGTATGTATGTATGTATGTATGTGTGTATGTGTGTATGTATGTAGGTATGTATGCATGCATGCATGTATGCATGTATGTATGCATGTATGTATGTATGTATGTATGTATGTATGTATGTATGTATGTATGTATGTATGTATGTATAAAGGCATGCTTGTAGTTATGTAAATATGCATATGCGTATGCATGTATGTAGGTAGGTATGCATGTATGTATGTATGCACGCATGTATGTATACATACATATATACATATATATATATATATGTTTGTAAGTATGTCTGTCTGCCTGTCTGTCTGTCTGTCTGTCTGTCTGTCTGTCTGTATGTATGTATGTATGTATATACACAGGCATGTGCATGTAGACATATATATATATATGTGTATATATACACATTCCGCTTGATCCAAGGCGCTCCTCGATGGCCCTCACCGAACAAAAACGCACACGTCCGAGCGATGCCAAACCAGCCGTGGCGACGAGGACCCCCCAGGAGGCACCGAACAAGGGCGAGGAAAGCCCGCAGTCTCAGGGTGAACGCTCCCCGCGCGGGCCGTGGGCTGCCGCCCGCGAGAGCCGCTCCAGACACCCCCGAACGCCTCCACGACCGGCCATCCAGTGTGCATCGAAAGCATGCGAGCACCCACCCATACTCCTTCTTCTCCTCCTCCCCCTCCCCCTCCTCCTCCTCCTCCTCCTCCTCCTCCTGCTTCTCATCCTCCTCCGTTCCCCCCTCGTCTTTCGCGAGCGTGCTCCTTCCTCTGTTTAGCTTTTGATTGTTAAAATTCTGTTCTAATTTGGTTGTCGGGCCCCGAACTACAACAACAACAACAACAACAACAACAACAACAACAACAACAACAACAACAACGGCTCCCGCTTGGTATTTCCTCACAATTGTGAAACATCGCGCTCTCGTGTGGGAATTCCTCGCAGTTTACTTACACGCCGCGCCCCCGACACTCAGGAACCATGCTTTCGCTGTGGCCTTTTCTCAAGGTGTACTTGGGAATCGCGCTGTCGTTCGAATGACTTCCTCGCGATTCATGCAGGACTCACGCTTCAGCAGCCCGCCTACTCGACCTGGCCGCCTGGGCCCGCCTTCCCGACCGCCTGCTAATGTCTGCCGGCCCGATCAGCCCGTCTGGTTCTGCCAGTGTCTTCTGCTCCTAGCCCCCGTCCTGCTAATCTCTCTCGTGCATCATCCTTCTCTCTCCCCCCTCCATCCGTCCTCTCTTCCCCTGTTTGGGGGGCTGCGCCAAATACGCATGGCAGGGGAGGAAGATTTTCCCCACTGGTGGTACCGACGAAGACGAATTGGGCGGGTACCGAGGGTTTGGGATAGACGTGTTGAATGTCACGCGAACGGATCGGGGCGAACAGTCTTAACATTATTGCGGTTGTTGTTGCTGCTGCAGTTGTCGTTGTTGTTGTTGTTGATGATGTTGTTGTTGTTGAATATTATTACTTCTAAAGAATAATTATTGTTGGGCCCCCTGGTGCACGCCCCCCCCGCCGCGCCTAGGCCGCAGCCACATTTTCATCATTTTCGTGAGGAAGTCTCAGGCAAAACGGGTTGGTCCAGATCCGGTTGTGTTGTTACGATCGGTTTTCCCTTGCAAAAAATAAGGCAAAGTGGACATTTCTTGTTCTAACATGACCAAACTTCAAGAATCCCTTGCAAAAAATGACACGAAGTGCACATTCGCGCGCGCAAGACGAAATCCTTCCAAAACCTTAGTCTTTGCAGCGATTTTCACATAAAAACATGAAAAACCCAATGGTTTTTCAAAAAAAGGGTTTCAAAAATTCACCCCGCGCGCTCTTGCGGATTTCTTAGGAAACCCAATACTTTTTCAACATTTCTGTCAAACGGGCTCTTGCGAGCAACTTTTTCACGTGCTTCGAACTTCTGCAACAACGGTTGCGCGCCTGCCAGGGCCATCATCCCTGTCAAATAATACCATGTGGGACACATTCGTTTTTTCTTCGCGCGCGCACGCCGAAATCTTCAATTGCAGGGGGAAAAGTCGTATACTAAGCTAGCTTCCACAAAATGTTACCACAACAAGTCATTGTACCCATGCGCC